TTTCTGAAATACGGTATTACTAACTTTTGCCAAACTGACTTTGAACTGCAATCCTCTTATTTTTCACTTCCCACGTAGCCAGGAAAACAGGTGTACACTACTTTGCCCAACTGATTTTAGAATTTAAATGAACTGTTATTCATCAACCAGTGGGAATCAATAGTTTAGATCCCAAAAGTGTTACATAAAAATCTTGAATGCCAACAAATCAAACATAATCACTCAAGTTTTATAGTTAAATATACTTTGATAGATTTAAATTCTTGGAATCAAAGAATCTACCTATGCCATATTTTAATCAGAATAATCAATTGACCAAGATAATTTATTTCCCATCCTAAGACCATGTAATCAAGAGAGTAATTAGGGTTCTAGGATTTGACATATCAACAACTATGTCCTACTGCCTAACACTATTTTATACATGCCTGGATATATTCAATACTTCCAATACTAACTAAATGACTCAAAATAAATTCTTCAAATACTCTAAATTAATAGAAGTTCATTTTATATACACATATACACATGTAAGCACATATACAGCATAATGAAACCTACCAAAAATTGTTTAAAAAATGGGGGAGAAGGAAAGGGAGTTAAAAAAGAATATAGAGGAGATGAATTTGATTGAAGTACATTATATGCATGTTGCAAATATTACAATGAATCCCTTTTCATAATTTATGCTAACAAAAAATTTTAAATTATACTATTTCCAAAAAGGTTTCAAGGGGCTAGGGAGTGACTCAATGGTAGAGAGCCTGACTAGTAATAAGCATGAGGTCCTGAGTTCAAACTCCAGTACCACAAACAAAAAAATCCAGAAATACAGGTTCACAAAAAGGTTTCATAACTTCTATTTCTATTACCTATCAATTTTAATGAGAATTTACATATAAAAAAATACTCCCTACATTATAACCATGAAAGTTTGTTTTCTTTGTTTTACATTTGTAATCATCTAACCATGGAGATTTGGGGAAAAAGTGTTAGCTTGTGTTTAGAAGACTTCCTGTATTTCCACATACAATCATCCTCTCTTAGATAAGGAAAATGAGGTTATATAAAATGTTTGTTTATACAGGCAGATCTACTTAAGATGCACAATAAATTAGTGACAAATTTCTAAGAGTTAGTTATACTTGACCGTAAAAGTACTGATTCCTTTTTTTTTTAATTTTTCTTTCCAAGTAAAATATTTTGAACCAAAAATAACTGCAATATAAAAACAATAAAATAAAAACAAAAAAAATTGCAAAATGTTCCAAGTATTTAAGCATTAATATGTGAAGAAAGGCCTCGTAGCCACCACACTGATCACAGATAATAATCCATCTAAAGATAACACCATGAAAAACGGAGATGACTCCCTCTTCATCTCCTATTCTAATCAGTCATCCCTATGAACCCTAAACCTTTCACACACATGTTATTTTATGGTTGGTTTCTTTTTTTTTTTTTTTTTTGATGGTACTGGAGTTTGAACTCAGGGCTTCATGCTTGCAAATCAGGCACTCTATTGATTGAGCCACACCTCCAGTCCACATATATTATCTTTTACTAATGGATGGCAAGTATTACTGAATTTGATTATGTAGGAAGCTAAAGAGTAATTTCTTAATCTTGTCCAGAAGACATTATGCAATTACCAAGCTTTTTGAATTTCATTATTTGTTCAAATTATAGAATATATAAATAAATCCATAATGTATTGGGTTACTACCATACACACTTTTTAATACAGTTTACATAATCCTAACATTCAGAATGTGACCTTTTCCTTGCATTATTCGTACTCTTTGATTCATCAGGACTTGTGCTAGAATGATAGAAACATAAATAAAAAGTCTCAAAATGTTTAACAGAATAATTCAATAAAATCAAAAGTAAACTATAGAAAGTCTCTATTTATAAATCTCACTCTTCCACTACAACAGAAAACTTTTAAAAAGCAATTCAGAATTTAAACTAACACATCTCTTTCTAAAAAAAGAATTAAATTTATGATCAATAACAAATCTTTATCAGTAAAAGCATTTAAAGACAAGGGATTACAAGTCAGAAAAAAATCTTTATTACCTATATTTATATTATATTTATTCTTTAATCTTAAGAAAGCAAGATAAATTTAACTCCAGTGACTATATGAAGTACATTAAAGCAAACCTAGCAGCAGTGGCTAGAGAAGGTTTAACCAATTCATTATCTTCAAGCCAAGTTCTTTCAAGTTATGAAAACAGAAGTATGAAACTATTAACTCATAATTATGAAACTCTTCCTTAGTTTAGAGAAAAAAATAAAATAATTATGGAACAATAATTTCTAAGACAGAAATCACATCAATGTGAAGTATTTACAGATTAACAAGCAAATATACTGGTAATGGCTTTGAAGAGTATTTAAAATTTATAGAAAAGTGTATCACCATATTTATATCTAACCATAAAGAGAAAAGGACCACATTTATACCAAGTTTCTGCCTTCACAGGTAATAAGCTATTTAGCTGTTTCCTATTCACTTAAACATATAACTAGTATTTGAAGAGCCTGAAATCTGCATTTGTTAATCTATGTAGAATAAAGCCCACCCCATTTACTTCTGTCAAAAATTCACAGAAAACCATAACTAGTCTAAAATTAATGTTCTAATCTACACAAAGTCTGAATTGTCATATTTGCCAGAAAGAAAATATAACCAAAATGTTTCACTTTATTAAAGTTTGAGCTGAAAATGCCCATATTAGTAACACTTTAGAATAATAAAGTATATATGCTCATAAACAACCCTTCAGATAAAAAGATAAATCCTACTTGAAAACAAGTAAGAAAGTCATGCTTGCCTACCATTCTCTAAATTTTACCCATTATATGACACATCCAACTATGCAATTAAAAAAATACAGTCTACAGTTACTAATGCCAGAGACTTTCTTCCTCAGAACCTACAGCATATCAAAAATTGTTTTAGCATTGAATTGATTCCAGCATAGGAAATTTGGCATAGATCAATGTTTAAAAGGTTAAAAACAATTCAACTGATTTTATCAAGGAAATAATCATATATTCATCCCCCCCTCTAACCCAATAAAGTCCAGCAGATAGTTAACTTCAACAAGATTAAAATAATTATTTACTTCTCAATTATACCGAATGTCATGCTTCAATCAAAATCTCAAATATTATGAAAATTAAATGACATTTTAGGTTAAGGGTATATTCAAAAACATTTTAAAGCCCTATTTGTATAAATGATCATATAAAATGTGTTAGTTTAAGAAAACCCAAGTAATATGGTACTCCATACATCATGGAGAATACATACAAACTAGCACAGTATTACAGAAGCAGAAACAAAATAACTAGAAAATCTGTAAGTGGTTAATTCTACCTCCTGCTTCCCTTCCCCCTTCCCTCAATTTTTAGAGAAAGGACCTGTAAAAAGAATAAAGAACTCACTTTTGGATGAATTCTTTGTGGGAAAGAAGGGGAATGGGGAGTGTGGAGCTACTTAATAGATGAATCCAGGAAAGATTTCTAGGCAAGAGGAACAGCATAAGCAAAAAATGCCCTGATAGCCAGCTTCAAGAATTCTATTCAATTTTAACACACAAAGCTTGTAGGCAGAAGCCAGATGCTCATACAGTCAGGCAAAAAACTGGGTCTAAGCTAATTTACATGATAGATAACTACTAAAAGAGTTCAAGCAAGGAAGTTCTTAATCCTGGCAATGTGTAAGAGGATAGGTAAAAAGACCATTACTAGACTACATGGAATGAGATCTAAACAAAGAGAAGAAACATGACGACAATTACGCTAATCAACTTAGCTAGTAAGTGCAGGTATTCTGATTATTTGTTTTTCAACTCATTTAAATATAGTTTAAACATAAACCAAATATGTGTAAGATTCAATGGCCTGATGTATGAAGAAGGCCTTCACTATAGAAAACAAATTAACCTAGGGAAGGGCCTTTTAAAGCGTCCTTGGGGCTGGGCATTGTGTCTCAAGCCTATAACCCCAGTTACTCAAGAAGTACAGATCAAGAGGATTTCAGTTCAAGGCTGGCCCAGGCAAAAAGTAAGCAAAACCCTCATCTAAAAGAAGCCAGGTATGATGGTGCACACCTGTAATCCTAGCAACACAAGAGGCATATGTAGGAGGGCTGCACTCCACAGGGCCAGAAGGGAGGAAGGGCTGGCTGCCAGTGGCAGTAATCCTAGCTACTTAAGAGGCAGAGATCAGGAGGATCTCAAGCCAGCCTTGGAAAACAGTTCCCAAGATCCTATCTCGAGAAAACCCATCACAAAAAAGGGCTGGTGGAGTGGCTCAAGGTGTAGGCCCTGAGTTCAAACTACCCCAGTTCTGAAAAATAAAAAGTAGGGGGGAGGGAGAGAGAAAATTCAATGAGTTAAGTAAATAGTTCCAGGTTTTTACCACATTTTCCCCTAATATTACCATTTCATATTTCCAGATTTTGAATGTCAACTGACTTTAACTTACAAGATACCGAGAAATTCACCAAACTTTAATCTGCAAAATTAAATTAAAATATAATATTCTACTTACTAAGTATTCCTGGAATGATTATCCAAAGGAATAAAAAACAGATGGAGTTAGGTACCAGAGCACATACCTGTAATCTTAGCTACATGGGAGGCTGAGATCAGGAGGATCAATGTTTGAGGACAGCCAGGGCAAATAGTTCCACACTCCCCAACCCCCCGCCAAATCTCCAAAATAACCAGAGCAAAATGGACTGGAGATATGGCTCAAGGAGTAATGCACCTGCTTTGCAAGTACAAAGCCCTGAGTTCAAATTCCAGTCCCACAAAAAAAAAAAAAAAAAGATGAGCCATCTGAATCTCATTTCTAAATAATGACCAAAAGTAATTTCTCAGGGGTTTCATGCATTACACTGAAAAGTCTGCCAAGGACTAGTACCATATGCGCACATTGTAACACAAAGCCTAAGCAATTACTACTGTGCAGCTTTATACCTGTGTGATGGAGAAGGAGCTTCAAATTGAGGCACTGTACTATCTTCACTGACAGGAGAGTATAAGCCACTCATTTCCTGAAATTATAATTATTTGAATTATAGTAGACACCAAGAACAGAAGATGTATAAATCAAAAAGAGATACAATGGAAACCAATCCTAGATTTTCATCAATCCTTTTTGACTTAATACCAAAATTTCTCAATGATTCCTTTCCACAAAATACAAAAGCAAAGACAATATTAAAATTGAAAAGGCAAGCTTTTACTATAGTGTACAATATTAAGGAACTATAAATTCTAATAACAGTGTTCACCACTAATGAAGTCATCAAATGCAGGAAAAAACCAAAGCAAATATTTTAAACAAGATACACATTATCTATATTAATAGTAAGGTAGCTAGTAATTTATTTATCCAGGTGATAGCCTAAAAATATATATTAGGATAAATATGAACTAGATCATCAGCTCAAGTCTTTAAAGTACAAATACATCCCAAAATGTGTCTGTCACATTCTACTTTGAAAATATCCTCTACAAACAGGAAGTAACAATCTTCTTGATTCAAGTATTTCCTTTGTTTAATAACAACTCAAACTCTTATTTTTTATCATTTAGTTCAAGAAAAAGGCCTCCTTATTTATAATGGTTATCAAATTAAGTCTCTGAATCATACTCGACAATTAGCCTTCTTTCTTATGTGGACATTTTGATTAATGAAAAAACAGCAAATTTGAAAAGGTCACTAAAGATACATAATCAGGTAGAATTATTTCTGGCTAATCACATAGCTAAGCATGAGTATAAAAACAAGTAAGAAATGACATGTAGGATGCTGAATGTCCGCTAAGTATTAGATTCATTATCTTTTAATATGTTCTTTATGTCAGCAAAAGTATAAAATATGCAAATAATAACACAATGAATTTAAATACAGCCTGAGGCTATAACTTCAGCTCACAATAATCTATAATTCTCAGAATACTGGTATTATCACATCTCTTTTAATTAACTATAGAATCTAGTAATGCACATAGTAGATAAGTAAAATGTATTTAATAAAAGGATATTAAATAGCGATGAATAATTTTAATGGTAATTAAAAGCTTTGTGAGAGTTGATTTAAGTTAAAAAAAATGACAACTTTTTTGTCCAAAAAGATACAATAAAAAGAGAGATGCAATAAAATATTGCAACAAACTTAAGATTACAATTTATCATGAAGAAAAGTCCTCAGAATGTTTATTACCACAAAATGCTCTATCAATTAGTGTAATATCTGTTACTTCCTTTATAATTGAGGTCAATTCCATAAATTTAATGCAGTAACTTAAAGGAAAGGTAACAATTTCATGACACTGAAAAATTATTACAAATTTGAGAAATTCTTGACTTCTTACTTCTACTCTCTTTATATCCTCTTCCAAAACACTTAGTTCCTTCTGGATCTGTTCAAGTTGCTGTAGATTAAAGAGAGAAAAAAATCTCTAAACCAAACCACACTGGCATTACCATGTTCATAAATTAACTTTACAGTTGGTAAATGATTTCTAGAAAAGTGGGCACTAGCAGTAAATTAGGGGAATGAAAAATCATACACACACACACACAAAAAAAAAAACAGCTATTAAGTTCCAATTTTAAAAGACACTATACACTTATCTTTAAGAAAACACAATGTTGTACTTATTTAATATGACACAGGTTTATTTTATAATAAAAATATGAAAGATAAATGACAAGAAGTGAGTTAAGAAACAAAAGATAGCCAAAGAACTTACACATTAGCTCATTTAATGTTAAAAATAAAATAATTTGGCATGTCAGCTATAACACTACCTTATATATTACAAGCTGACAAGAGGTTAATCCTACCACCAAATATCAACCACAAATTAGCATTCTAATACTTTCTTTGTATGAATTTTTAAACATATTAAAATACTGTCTTTCATATGTTGTCTATTGCATAACCATTTTCTATATCATAAAAATGTAAAGATTAGAACTGTGTAACAACATTCAACAATGTAAATATTCCTCTTATTACAGACTTAAGTTTGCTGCAAACAATCATAAATAATTCTACCAGATTTTACCATTCTGATTCAATTAAAAGATTACTTTAGAGCTTAAGAGGTTATTAAAAATTATTCAATCAAAATAGAAAGTATTACCCAAAACAAAACTATTTTCAGGATCACTTATCAATTTAAGTTTCTATCACTAATATGTATAACTAACTAGCCGTCTTACTCTAACTCAAAAATCTTGAGTCAATTTTTATATGCAAAATACTAGCAATAAGTAATTATATAATACTGATTGCCAGGTGTGAAATAGTTATTACTATGAGGCACAGAAAGGTTAAGTGACTTATCCAAGATAGTTCAGCAAGTGAGTGGCAGAGTTGGAATCCAAATTAAGACAACTTTCTTGCTTTAGAAATCATGCGGTTATCCACTATGCTATATTACTTCATGAAAACAGTACTAATTGTTTATACCTTTAGTGACTGGTAAGGGTGAACAGAGTATACTTATTAAGTATTAGCATGTTCTCTTCTGTAGTGAACAGAGTATATGTATTAGTATCGCATGTTCTCTTCTGTGGCAGGACAGACACAACTAGTAACCTAATTGATAATTTATTAATTCAATTATTTACCAATCCTAGGCATTTTGATAATCATTGAGAAAAATAGTAGAATAGTGGTTAGGGGGTGGATGACAGAACTGAAAGGAAATCTGGAATTAAATCAAAGACTGAATCTTAAAAGACTAACAAGAACTCTAACAGGTGGAAAAAATGAGTAAAAGCAGGATAAGAAAAGTAAATGATAACACATGTAAATATTTAAAGGCTATGAGCAAAGAACAAATACATCTGAGGCTAAACCAATGAGTATTAATTGCCCAACATCAATGTACATATCAGAAAAGATAAAAATAAGGATTTGGGTAGTACAGAAAGCCAGTGTTAAACAGATGAGCAGGGCTAGAGGCATGGCTCCAGCGGTAGAGCCCCTGCCTAACAAGCACAAGGCCCTGAGTTCAAATCCCAGAATCCCCTCACCTCCCTAAAAAGAAAAGAGAGATGGGCAAAGGAAAAGCAGTATTATCTCGAAGGACAAGAAAAGCAAATGTAAGCTACAAAATCAGGAGAAAAGACCATATATTATCAGAGAAACCAGGGATTTAAAAAAAAAAAAGTGACTAGTTCTGTGAAATGCTTTCACCCATATATCTACTTTAATAAACTTTCCTTCACCTTAAAATTTGTAACACAATACTGCTACCTTAACTAAAACATTGCAATTCCTTGAAAATACTGCCTGTTTTGGTATTATTTCAAATAAAGGCTTATCAATTGAAATTCTCTAATGTCCAGGTTCACAGGACCTAGTAGAAACTCACAACTTCTACTCCATTCTATTGCTCTTTCTAACAAATGTCCTTTCATCCAAACATAGAAACTACTCTAGTGTAGTTCATATCAAGCAGCTAACTGGCTCTCTATCAATGAACATCCCAGTAATTCCCCACCATTGCTGAAGCCTTTGATTCAAGGATATTTACAACTTTTTTTAATAATTCTGACTTCTAATTCAATAAAGCATGCCCATGGTCACATCTTAATCATTTTCACTTAATTACTCTGAAATGTCCCAGTCTTTAAAAACTTAAAAAAAAAATCATTAAAAAAAAAAAAAAAAAAGCATGGCTGCTTTACAAAAAAAATCCATCTTAAAAAAAAAAAAGGATGAAAGCAAACACCTATAATGTCAACACTGAGAGGCAACCAACACCAATTGCAAATTATTCATAATGAAAACCAAATTAATAATTTCGTAAAACTTCAGAACTTGAAATACTAGAAAAACTTTCTGATGTTACTTGAAATCCTGAAATATCCCAACTCCAATGCCCTTTTCTCTGAAGATAATGCCTCATCCTGCCAGTGCCCCAAAGCTTTTACTGGGTAATATGCTTGTATTACATATGGAAGCTACTACATATAAGATGAACTATATGAAACTATCAACAGTCAAACAATTTTTACTTTTAAAAATGACAATTTCATCTGGTTCTATTTAAACTGAAACGATGAAGGTACAAGATCTGTCCTGATAAACATATTTGTGTAATACAAAAGCAAATAACATAACCTACCTATGTTTATATCTGAAAAGGAGTCAGACAAGAAACATTAAAAAGGAAAAATAAATTTGCAAAAATGAACCTGTTTAGAGATTACATATTTAATTTTAGGCATTATAAGATGGTATTCTGAAGAGAACACTAAAGTATTAGGATAATCAGTGTAAGAAATTTTAGTTCTAGTAAACAGAAGAACTACAAAAGACAGCCATTCAAAAGTAGTGGAAAGAAGAACTGGGCTAAATTTATTGTATAAACATCATAACTCCAAGAAGCAGAACCTGGTATAAAAGAATGAGTAGTAGTCCAAGAACAGGAAGTCCAAGAGCTGAACTACTATTACCTGAATGAAAATCAATCACAAATTGGAAAAGAAAAATTCTTGAATCAAACTTGCCTTAACATGGAGTTTAGAGCTTCTAAAAAGAATTCAGTATGTAAGATGGAAAAGGACATGGTTCTGAAATACCAATAATAAGCACTCTTTGAATGTGTAAAAGGTCAAAAACTTCACAGAAACATTTAAATTTAAAAAGTAAAGAAATGTCTCAGAACCTCTTATGATGAAAATACAAAGAATTGAAATGAAAAACTCCTCAACTATTGACATTAGCTTTGGTGGAGGTAGGCATCTTTGGTACTTATACATATGACCTCCACTGCTGGTTTGATAAAGATATACAAGAGTATTAAACTTAAGTGATTTTTACAGAAGCTATTATAACTTACATACATACACATTGATACATGTAATAAATTGTAAATACCCACAACTAAACAAAAGAATATACCGTTACACTTTCAAGAAAAAAGCTGGTAAAGAAAGAAGAGTAGAAAATCTCAATGTACACTAAGTTCTATAAGAGTAATACTCAGCTGCAAGGATAATGACATGGGGTTTGAAGGTAAATGGATGCTACTGGAGGACATCAGGTTAAGTGAAGTTAGCCAGGATCAGAAACACAAAAGAAGCATGTTCTCTCACATACGTGGAAGATAGATCTAAGATAAACATACACACAAAAACAAGCATGATCAAATACAAACCCAGATGTAGAACATGTTTGTAACAGTGGAACTACACTATGGAACTCAGGGAAAGAAGGAAAAGAATAGAGAATGATAGAGCATCAGTAGTATCGCATATCATAAGATGTCAAAGTAGAGGACATAAGGATGTGAACTGAAAACCGTTGAAAAACTGGAGGTGGGAGGTAAAGGGGTAAGGGAGAATACTGGAAGGGACTGAACAGACCAAAGCACACCCACAGTGGGCATACATTGAGACATCCCTTTGATCGTCAACTTAAATATTAATAATGAAAATGAGGACTATAAAACAGGCACAGTGTGTGCAAGGGATGTGGGGGGAACTACTAGGAGAGGGGAAAGAGAAGGAAGGAGATTAAAGTGATAGTATATGGTTGATGGAATTCATAAACCTATATGAAACAAAACTAAAAAATCTTCTGCAACTGCTTTAAGTGGGGCGGGAAGGGGACCGAGGAAGAGATGATGGGGACAATGCAAATAATGTACAATATAAGTGTAATAGGAACTGTCACTATGAAACCCCCCCGTATAATGACTATATCCTAATAAAAAAATTATAATAAAAAAGAGTTACAACTAAAAAGATATGAACCAGACAAAGCATACACTATAGGAAATCCTTCATGTCCCAAACGGACCCTATAAACACACACATACTTACTACCTAATGGCAGACTTGATTTTTTTAAGACTTTAACCCCTGCACAGCAATTTTTTAATCTGAGGAAAAAACAATAAAGAAACAAGACAATAAATAAACAAAACAAACAAGTAAATAAATGAGGAATAAATCAAAACAGTATTCAGAAAAAGATATGAATACTTTCTGAGTATAATACAATTAAAACAGAAATTCCTAACAAAAAAGGTAACAAGAAAATCCTCATCTTCAAGTAATTTCTAAATAATCTACAGGGTTAAGAAAAAATTATACTAAAATTAGAAACTATTTTGGACTAAACAAAACAAATAAAAATGTGGTAACAAAATAATTAGATGCAGTTAAACACATAAGTCATAAATGCTAGTATGTTATATGACAAAAGTAGTCCGTATAATAATACGAACAAAAAAATAAAAAGGAATTAAATAAAACTAAAGCAAATAGACAGGAATAATAAACAACATAAGTTAATAAAATGGAAAACAAACATAAAACAGAAACAAAGCCAAAGATAAAACTCGTAAAACTGATACATCCCTGATTAAGAACTTATGAAGGAAAAAAAAAAGAATAACACACCAAG